AAAATAACTAAGAGACTCTTTCTGATTGCATTGAACAGGAATTTTCTATGGGCTACTGAACAACTGTAAAAGAAAAAGAAGTATTATAGACAGCAATAGAAGCAAGAACAACAGGCTGTCTGTCCTTTTTTTTTTCATGCCCCTTTCAGGAATGAGCATGAAGTAAACATGCACTCTGTTAAGACTCATCATTTATTATAGATTAAAGAGAAAATAATTTGGTCTTCCAGATACCTTTTAGTACGAAACATCTTAGAACTGATGCTTCCAAAAATTCAGGGCCAGAAGAACAGGCTGCGCTTTTACCATAAAGGGGTCATTTCTTCAGGAAGAAACATTGCATTTTAGGGAGAAATATGAACTGGTGCATCACTCAGTGCAGCCTATTTATTCTCAAGGGAATGTTTTCCCTCCCAGCAGTTTGGCCCTGAAAGGTAAAGATCTGACTCACAGTGTCTAGCCAGACAAGAATACAATGCTATTTAGCACTGGGGGGAGAACCAGGGATTAAAATGTATGCATTTTTAATCGATGTTTCTTGACTCAGGTACCTGATGCAATAAAAAACATTTAATAACAAAATTAATTAACATTTAGTCTGGATCAAATACAATTCCCAAATACCCTCCTCAAAGGCAGAGGGACAGAAATGTGAATCTGGACCACGTTCAAAAATGTAAAATGTCTCCTTAGTGGCTGAACAAACATCCCATTATGGTTATACACCCAGTGACAGGGGTGGGGCAGGGCTTTTTTTGTTGTAGATAAGTGAAGGACCTGTCCTACAGTATATAAAATCCACATCTGAATTTTATAACCACACCCTTTTTTGCTCCGCACTGTGAAGATGATTTTAGCTCCATCACAGGTCTTGCACTTCGTGCAGAAAACAGCTCCTTGGTTATGCCAGCTTATAACTGAAAAGCTGGTTATAAAACTGTACTCAGCACAATTCCCGTTGCCTTTACCAGAAGTCACATGCATGCACTCAAGGGTATGAACTAACACTAGAGAAACAGTTGTCTTTACTTTATGTTATAGTCATACAAGCAGTTCTTTCTCCCTCAGCAGTGTGCAGAATTCTTACCTACTTTGGTTGCAGCAGCCTTACTAAGAACATGGTTTGAACATGAGTAGTAACAAATATCTTTGGTTATGAAACTACTGAGCAAATGCATTTAAAAAACACACATTTTTGAATGTGTTGGAAGGCTGAAATAAAAAAAAATGCTGGAAATAACCCAAAATTTCAAGCAGCAAGTTGCACAAATATCAGTTGCACCACTAGAAATCAAATATGCTTTAAAAGTTCTCTAGCCATTAGCTCAAGCTATATTTCTGTGCCCAGTTATTGCATCCTAGCCAGAAGAAATGTCTGCAATGCTGAACTCCACTGAAAAAATCAGTGTTCTTTCAACATATGACAATTGTTTGCATGTCTGGAAACAGAAATCAGTGAGATGGCAGCCCTATGGGCCTCGTATTTCTACTACTCTGGGATGTAGCCCATATATAGCCCTGCAAAGGATAGAGGAAGATTAAAGTATATTTTTCTTTATGTATGCTTCCTTACTGGTAGATGCAGTGGCATTAACTTAGCTCCTATAAACAATGCACAGCTTTGTTTGTAAAAATTCTGAGAATTATCTGTCATGGCCACACACATAACCACAAAATCAAATATACCCAACTACATTTTAGTGAAAAGCCAAACCTCTAGCTATTATCTCCCTTTTTCTTGAATTGCAAATACCATATGCAAGCAGGTTAAGAGAACTGATTCATTAAAACTGCTTGCTGACCACCGAAAAGATCTTCTCATCCACATAACAGCAACACTTAATATTTCCTTGGTATATTTAAACAATTTTACAAGTACAGTACTGAATCAGGAGCCACAAGTTTTAGAGAAAAGCAAACCAATATCTTCAAAAATGCAAACCTCGATCTTTAAAGGAATACTGAGGGAAAAGATGTTATGAATATCCCTTTTCTTAAGGTCACAAAATCACTCAATCAGGACACAAGAACTACGGGTTGGTTTCAACTCACACATCTTCCCCAAGCTTTTCAGACGGATGACTTAAGTAGTAGGAGGACCCTTGACAGAGCAGTAAATAACATTTATCATGAAAGACAGAGTTTAGAACTGGAACTGGTAGGCCTCATTAGCTCCGGATACAATAACAAAGACATAACACAGCTTCAGCAGTTAGAGATTGACTCAGCCACACCACTGGTTATCTGGCACCGCTCCTGTGAAGACAGTGCAATTCACAGCAAGGCATGCTGTTGCTGGGGAAGGAGGGAAGGATCTCAGGGAAGAGCAGCTCAATTTGTTAAATATTTGGGCATGTTTTCCCCATCTGTTTTTTGTTAGAGCCTTGCAACTACAACTGTAAAGAAAGATGAGTCAGATTTTCACTCCCTCGGCAGTGTTGGACCAGGACAGTCTAGTTATGGGAAGAAGAAAAACCAGTTCTTGGAAAGCTGTATCGCTTTACCTGAGAAGGTGAGTATAGGGTGTCGTCCCAAACGGTCTCAGCCTTCACACAAGAAAGCGCAAGCAAGTCCTACAAGATGCTGAGTCCATCCTTTATCTGAAAATTAAGAGGTGGGGAAAGAGAGGCTGTAAGAGACAGGCAGCAATGGCAAGACTTGGTGGGGGTGGGAATGTAAGAGCCTTTTAAAACACAGCTTCCCCTTTTTTAGAGAAAATATAGAAGAAATGACATTGAGAAAAGGCTTAACATCTGTTTGAGACACAATTTGTGAAAAAATTAAAGGCTCAACTAGTTAGGCAAAGTCTATTTTTTCTATGTGTGTGATTTATGGATATTTGTGCATTTTCCACCACCGTGAAATGTTTTGCTGTGTTTTTGGTGTAATATTTCTATGCAATCTGAAATTTTCCAAAATGTCACTCTAGTCTCCCTTACTCAAGAAGGCTCCTCAATACTTTGGCATGACTTCCGTCAGCAGTGCTGGATTTCCATAAGGGTAGCTTAGTCTGGGAAACAGATATTACTTTTAAGTTGGATTTTATAGAAAGTGTCGTATATTTATGTTACTACTACATGCAAAGCAAAACTTTTTACTTGCATGATTTATCTTTATTTTGACATAAATAAAAGAAATTTTGCCTGTCCAGACATTCAAAATTAACAAAGTTTCTCAGGATTAACTTTGTATTAATATAGAATTTCTTCATACTTTTGGTCTTTTGTTCTGTCATTTCAGGTGCTCATCAACTATCCCTCTTGTTTACATGGCCTCTCTTTCTTAAACTTCAGTAAAAAGAAAAACCACCTGCAAACCTTCTTAAAAATACAAAAACATTACCTCTGTTGAGCTCAAAAACTCCCTGTGGTATAGACTGTTTTTTTGGACCTTTCTGCCTAGCACCTTGCAAAATCAAATTCTGATCCATGACTAATGGTCCCAATTACCATGACAATAAAAATGTCATGGCTTACTGTAACTGGTATGTGTCTTAAATGATAACTATATACCGCATTTAACAATATATAAAAACTAAATTGATGGCCTTCCAATTTCTTTTATATATGTGCATAACTGAGAAATCCTGTGGAAATGGCACGGTAATATTTGGATTTTTAAAAGCACATAAAGGAAAAATTCAAATCTGTGTACATGAAGCTATACAAGCTAACTATTTTTTTTTAATATGCAACTTTTTTTTTTCAAAATGATTTTCACAGAGTCGAAATAATTTAGGCTGGAAGGGACCTCTGGAGTTAATCCAGCTTCCTGCTG